GTTACCCAGGAAGAATACTGGGATGCTGTGCAGACATGCAGAGATGGGAATCAGGAAAGCCAGGGCACATATGGAACTGCACTTGGTGAGGGTTGTGAAAAACAACAAGAGAGGGCTCTACATGTACATTGGTCAGAAAAGACAGGCCAAGGAGAGTGTATTTTCTCTGGTAAATGAGAAAGGAGAACTGGCTACAGCAGACACAGAGAAGGCTGAGGTACTCAAAGAGTTCCAGCCTTCACTGTCAGCCACGCTTCACATATGTCTCATCCCTGGACCTCACATCCTTAACCTTTTGGTAGGGCAAAATCCCTCTAACCATAAAGCAGAGCAGACATGAGATGGATTCATGAGGTTGAACTGCAAACAGTGTATCAGGCTACATCAGAAGAGGGGTGGCCAGCACCATAAGATATATGATTGTCCCTCTCTATTCTGCCCCCCACGCGTGGAACTTTTGGAACAGGTCCAGAGGAGGCAACAAAGATGATCTCACACAGAGAGGGCTGAAGAACCTCTCATATGGACAGGCTGAGGGAGCTGGGCTTATTGAGCCTGGAGAAAGCTCAAGTGAGACCTGACAGTGAACTACAAGTATTTAAAGAGAGTTTACAAGGAGGAGAGAAATCAATTTTTAAAATGGGTAAGTATTGATAGGAAAAAGCAGAATGGTTTTAAACAGAAGAAGGGAGATTTAGATTAGATGGCAAGGAAAATTTTTCACTGGGAGGGCAGTGGGGCCCTGGGCACAGGCTGCCCAGAAAAGCTGTGGATGCCCCATATCTGAAGATGCTCAAGGCCAGGTCGGATGGGGCCCTGGGCAATCTGGTTTAGTGCCTGATTTAGTGAGTGGCAACCCTGTCTATGAGGGGAGTTGGAACCAGATGACCTCTGAGGTCTCTTCCAACCCAAGCCGTTCTATGTTCTGATGATTTCCACATTCATTACTTCGCATGCCACTTTCCCTCCTCACATCACAGTTTTCTCTGCATGCATATAGCAAGGAAATTTTCTTTTGACTCTACTACACACAACTACAACAGCTCATGTATTTAATGTATGTGAATCATCAGCACACAAAACATACCAGAGATTTTTGGGAAGGTAGATAGAGGTCAGGTGCTTTCTGTAACAGCAGGAACGCAACTACACAGGAGCCTGCAGAGCTGGAGATTCAAATGGAAAGCAGCACAAAACCCTTTTGAAAGATGTGCTGCTATGTCCCATGAGAGACTAGTACTGCTGTACTCATTTTCAGATCAACACAAAGGTAACAAAAAATGTATGTTACAGTAGGAGCTGAAATGTCATTAAAATTATCACCATGGCAGAGCACTTTGTCCATGACCTGAGGGCCAGCACTTCTTCTTCACCTCCTGCACCACAGACATTGAAAAAATCATACATTTTGTAAACCCTCTGTTTTATTCCTTACAAATGAGGAAGCAAGGCAGAGGAAGCCCTGTGCTGTGCCTGCCTTGGCCGGGAACTAGTGCTCCAGGTCTCACCCTGGGCCAACCCTCCACCACTGCTGGAGGCAGGGAAACTCTCCCAGTCCCCACACCTTTTCAACATGCCATGCTGGCAAGTAATTAAAACCAGCTGCTAAGACATCATCGTCTCTTTTGACAGGCTGTCACCCTGCTATAGTTTCACTTGCTTAGATGTTTCATTTTGGCTTAACTAATGACACAAAAAATCATCTACAGGGCAAATGCGTTTTCTAGGGGATTTATAAATCAACATGATTGAAGATGATAAACTCTAAGTGAAAGACAAATCATTTTCAAAGATAGCTGAAATTAGCAAACTAAGTTTTGTTTTAATGAACTTCTTTTGCCTCCCCAGCATCTGCCTCGGCCACACTGAACTAGATACCTCTGGTGCTAAACACCTTCAAAACACACCTTTCAAAGGCAACAGCCTAGAAATAAAGCAGAAAAGCATTGAAACTAGCAAGCTGTCAATTTTCATCTCACTTTTTGGAAAACATCTCTGAAAGAAGCGTGTAATGTTTTTGTGAAAGTTTAAATCAAAGCATAGCTTCTATGTTCTGTTACTCTTTTTCAGTATGATGTGCCCTCAGCATATTTAGTAATGTCAATATAAGTATATAAATATTTTTAGAGCACCCAACCAAGGGCTTGCAAACTGGGCACACTCTTCCCTGATTCTTCTGCTCTTGCCACCCCTGCAGAGCTTTTAAAAGTTCTCTCCTCCAGAAAGCAAAGCACTCATCAGAAAATCCCACTTGTTGGACTTCATCTTTGGACGCACTGGTTTCCAGCTCAACTCAAAGTGTTACGAACCAAATTATCAGTACTGCTTTCAGAATCCCTGCTCTGTTCACCAAGGCAGGCTCCCACACTGTATCTTCAAAACAGCAGCCCTCTGCCATGTGCCATTACTATTTTGTCCTAAGACGTGGAGCTGGTTTCCTAACTTGATAACCTGGTTTCCAAACTTGATAACCCTCCCACCCAGCATCTGAGGTTACAGTTCTATCCAAATACATGATGTAAAAAATAACGTAATAGTAGGGAAGTAATGGTTCAAACTGCTGCTCTTTGGGGTTGGCCAATGGAAAATCATTTCCAGTTCCCCCTCTTGTCCTTTTTAATTCCTCTACTGTTCTCCCCAGGACCGTCCAATGCAGACTGAAACATGTTTTCTATCTATGCAGCATAGTACAGATGATACTCCTGCTCAGGAATTCAGCTGTGATACCACCAAGGCAGCACCACATAACTATTAGCCAGTTTTAGTAAAAAGTAAATTGGCCATAAGGTTGCACTGAGTTCTTTTCCATTGCCTATTTGAATGAATTTGTTATTTCCCTGTTGATACAAATAATTATTGTAAATGGCACGAAGTTATCTTTTTCAATTAAGAAAATATCACGAGAAGTAACTGATTGTGAGTAATTGCAAATGACATACTGGTAAACTGTAAATTATACATCTGTGATCTCAGATTTAATCAGCCAGGAAGGTAAGAGAGCAGTGTAATAGTTGGGAGCCCTGAGTATTACTGTAAGGTGATGGGGCTGATAATTTCATGACTTCTTTTGTTCCTGCTGGCGTGAAATGGGATACTGTGAAGTAATGTCTACCATCTGGTGCAAGTGAGAGAAACAGAATAACGTATATCAGCGCTGGATTTCTATGGCAGTATAAATATTTCTAGCAGAGATTAGACAATATTTGTTATCCATCTTCCTTCTGTGCTGCAATATGCAGAATCAACACTGCAGCTTTTATTTTATACTGCCCAGAAAGAAATGCCTTTAGTTGTTATTACATCCTCCACACATGAAATCACAACATACGACCTAACAGTTTCAGTAGATCAAACTCATTATATATTGAAAATTCAAATACACACAGACGAGTATTTGTTGTAAATTCACTCATTTCAGACTGAGTCAGCTAGCCAAAAACCTTTATTACAAACGCTGAGAAACTATCCTAAAGGTGATGTTGTGTGTTGCTACAATTATTCAGGGATGCAAGTATTTTATTTCCCGTATCTGGTCTTCAAAAGATGGAAGGTTTGCCTGCTCTTGATATTAGTATTAAAGGAAGTTACCAAAATAAGAGCATATATTGAGCAACTATGTTATTTTAGAATTAATGCAGAAATTTTCAGAGGCAAGACAAGCTTTGTGCTGGACAGGTCTTGCTGGCTGCCAGAAGTGACAGAAAATTTGGTCTTCAAGCATTCTGGCTTCTTTTTGGAAGATTTAAGAGGGAGAGAACACATTACCACAGTATCCAGAAGACCAACAGCTTGCATGCACAGATAAGAACTCAGAGTGAGATGAAACATTTGTCAGCTAAGATTAATGGGTGCCCCATGCTCCTGCCTAAATCATGCTTTCCTATTCTTATTCTTATCCTTCCCTATAGAAATAAAGTGTATTTTTATAATCTGTTGAATATGGATTTATAGTTGTTATTCTCTTAGTCGATCCAAGTCATCCCCAGAGGAAATTGTTTATATAAAGCAGGTCACACATACACAATTACCACCTCCATCAAAATCCAAGATACACAATAAGACAATTTGAAACACACCACCACTGCCCTGCCTTCAGCTGTCTAGCCCATCTCCATTAGGCTGTAATGATGTCCTTGACACCCATGAGAAATATGCCCAAATTGCAGAACGTCAAACTGCAAAATATCAAACATTTCAGATCTTCAAATGTATGATCAGAAACGGCAACAAGATAAGCTATTTTCTCATGCCTACAAACAAGGCAAGCTCCACATTCGGCCACCGAGTTGCAGGAAATCCTGTTCCCTCATTAAGGCACAGCCTCACTGCAATATGCAGCACTAAGGGACAAAGCACAACTTCAAAGGCATAACACCACTTCCAATGTAATTCTAGGCTATTTCCAGATTGCAAGAGCCCTCTGAGGATCACAGAAGTCCTTGGAAAATGATCTCAAACTAATTGCTACATCATAAGGAGCACTTACCATTGCAGTGCTTTTTCTCCAAACCAATCTCCTTTTCCTAAAGTACGGAGAAAGACTGGATCCTCACTGGGGGAATCTTCACGAGTGACGTTCACCTGTTGAAAAGCCAAAACCCCCAGCATTTAGAAAACTTTTCATTAATGAACAAAGCCTATTTGTTCAGAGAGGGGTTAGTCATCTCCCACATCCCTCAGGAAACTCTCTGGTCCATATCCTCTCTGTGAATCAAGTCATTCTCCAGGCCTGCACTCTTCCCCATCAGCAAGCAATTACTAATTCTCCATAAGCCAGTCTCAAACCATCCAAGAAAATGAATAGTTATTTTCCACTAAGATATCTACCACTCCTGGAAAAACTCAACACTTGCGTGCATTCAAAGGTTTTAAGCTCTAAACATGGAGTTGGCTGCACAAGTACCATCACCAGCCATATGGAGTCGACAGCAGAAAGAGATTCCAAATATTTTATGTGTATAAGACAGATACATGGCATAGGTTTCTGTTAGCTTTGTTCCACATGATTTTTTGCATTGCTAAGCACTTAAGGGGAAAAAAAAATCTACATTTAGTCATAACTTAAATGAAACAGTTGGGAGCATTATGGACTGAAAAATGGCTCCCTTGCTTTTCATCATGTACTGAATTCGGGGAGGAAATAATTCTAGCTAGAGCAAAAATCACACATTAAAGTAAAATAACATCTTATTTTTATTTTTTAATTTTTGCAGTAGAAAAAAAGCAATAAGAGCTGTTGAAATGGATAATTTTACCCACTGTTGGGTGGCATATAACCTAGTGCCCAAGTATGAAAAGACACTGCAACAACAGGCAGATGGCTTCACATCTGTGAGTGAAGACACTCTATCATGGGGGGTCCTTTTTATTTTCTCAAAAATATCAGAAGAAAAACAGTAATTGATCATCTAAACAGACATCTACTTTGTATTATCTCTGTAAGTGGCCCAAGCCAGCATGGGCTATAAATCCCAGCAGCCGTGTGATGACAAAGCCCCAGCACACTGCTGGGAGCCGAGGATGGCATGGCATCTCTGCTCATTCTCATTACCAAGACTTCATGACAGATGTGTGTTATGTATCTAGTGGCCCTCTATGAGAAATATTTTCTCCTTTTCATTTAACTTTTAGAAGGAACTCATGTTTCTTGTGGCATATCTAAGTGGGTGAATTACAGCAATCAGGGTGCAGTGGGGATCTTCTCCGCTGCCATGAACTAACTATAAATCCATGTTCTGTTTATTGTCAGTAGAACAGCATTTCCAAAGTCTGAGCTATCCAAAATTCAGAATGGATGAGCAACCCTCTGGAGGATTTACAAGGGAGAATCCCCCATCTCACTCCTCTGTTTCAGGCTGTTCGTTTGCTTTCATCAGAGCTTTTGGATACCCAAATTCACAAAGCCAAAATCTGAGACTTCAGACGCTACCCTTCTGATTTAGACACATCCTTGTTTAGTTGCACTGCCCTGCACCTTCTCTTATACGGGTGGTAAAACAGAGGGTTTGAGTCATTGGAGAGCACTGAGTACAATACTACATTTAACACCTGCAGTGACTCACTGGAGATCAGATGAGAGTAGGGAGAATGGAACAGATGAGCCAGGAAGATTTGTAGCTGATGAAAAACAAATTTAGACAAACAAAGGCAACTGTAATGTGTATTTAAGCTCCTTCTCCATGACCTCTGCTGATCCTAAAACATGAATGCTAAGGGATTACCAGAGTGTAATTTCTGCACAGCTCAATATGATGACACATCTGAACAGCAACAGTACCACTGACAAACATGCACGATATAGTATCAAATTGGTGCCACACCATTGCTATTAAAGGGAAAATGGTGTACAATGGCACAGCATGACACACTTCCTTGGTAAAGGAAGGATGCTAAACAGGACAGAGCAGCAGCAGGCAGCAATCAGAAGGGATGAAACTGTTTTCATCGAAGGTATTATTTAACAGATTTCTGCACGTGGGCTGTTTTGAACAAAAGTCGAATTCTGTTCACTTGGGCTTGAGGAAATACACTCTAATAAACATGAGAAATAGTTCCCCAGACATTTGTGCAGTGTTAAAAGCAACTAAGCTCCTGCACCTTCCCAGTTCTGGAAGAAGCTGCTTGCTGATCACAGGCTGACTCCAACAGGGGAACGTTGGATGGGTTAAATTAGTAGCCACATGCCCCACACCACTAAATGACAACAGGAGCCAGAACAGGTGTGGTGGATGGATTTGAGGGAGAAAAAAGGGAAAAGGCTTTTGCTATGAAGAGAAACATCCACAGAAGAAAAAACGCTGAGCTCAGAAATTTTTAAAGAATATCACTTGACTTGACTGTCACTACAGAAGTTCTAGCATAAAAGGCAGGAGAGAGCTTTCAAAAGTAGCTTTTGCTGCTAGAACAAGATGCTGCTGAATGCAGGAAGTACATGCAAGATCCCAGTTGCGCGAGAAGGAGCCAGCCTTTTTTCTGGCTTGCTAAGCCTCCTGGGTCTGCTTTCAGCATAGGCATAAGAGTCATGTCTCAGCCTCGGAAAGTCCCAGTCAGCATATATTGATATGATTATGCTGTGTTTCATAGCTACTTTTTCCATGTTTCACTGCCAGTGCACTACTCTCCTATCCTGGGCTGTACCCTTTGCACAGAGAAGTTCTCATATCACTGCGTAGCTCACATGTCTAAATACAGGCATTAAAATTAAACACCCTCCCACTTCCATCCTCCCTCAGTCACCAATATCTCTTTTGCAATTCAGTGAGGTTGGAAGAAAAAAACTAGGCTGAATTTAACCGTCCCTCTGGGAACTTCTGTCAAGCCATCAAGATCCAGCTGAGGCTCTGGGAATTTCTCAGCAAGCCCATGTGAATTGCTTTGAACTCTCTTTTCTGGCCATCAGCTGATACACGAAGATAAAAAAGCAGAGGCCTGGGAGATAAAGCCAATGAGCTTCTCTAGGGGGATTAGAGAGCTCTGGAGCAATGGCCAAGGACACAGGGACCAGCTGCTTTTCTCCTCCATCCTGCTGGTGATCTGCAGGGGCATGAGGAGGAGTGGACAGACCAGGCAGGTCAACTACTGGTTACCCAGCTGATGTCAACAACAGGGATTTGAATTTTGTAACCAAGAGACTCTGAGGACTGAGGACTGCTAGGAAGGGATGGAGTCACCAGATCAAGTTGGTCAAAAGCATCCCCACCAACAGGCTGGTCTGTGTACCAAGGAGGACTTTTAACACTTGTTGGGAAAGGGAGGTGCATCAGACATGGTCTGAGCAGAGAGGATTTTTAGTGTATGTCATAGTTGTCCTTATTCTGGAAGAAGATGAAACCCTGCTCAAAAGCACAAGAAAATACCATCAAATTTGCACCTCGACAGCCCATTATTAGCTTCAATTCAGCAACCTGCTGTGATCTTCTTATTCACCTGAAAAAGACCATATTTTTTTCTTCTGACAAAGATTAGCTCCCAGAGATAGAGGAAAAGATGGTGAAAACTACTTTTAATATCTGAGAGCTAACAGTACAACACACTCACACTCTTCCTTTCTAGATGACACGGTTTTGTTTTTGCTGTCCTTAATTATGCAAGGACTATATTAACATCTGCTTTGGTGCAAACATCAAACCCATGAACCAAGAGGCTGGAGTTGGCCTGCTTTCAAGTGTATTTACCCATTTGTGTTTACTTTTCATGTATCACATCTGATCTGCAGTGGGAAATCAATGTGTATGCTGTTGAATATCTCCTGCCACGTGGAAAGAAGCCAAGTGTTTTTCAAGTGTAATAGTATTACGCCAGCTTAAAAAAAAATAGCCAAGAGGAAGGAAAAAGCTGGATCTACAAAATCCCACGAGGAATTTATGTGAAAAGAGGTCAAAAAGCAAATTTTCCCTCTGAGCAGTGAAGCAGCAAAACTCTGACCTTTTTTAGTTCCCCGAAGAGAAAGCTGAGACTGCTTCGGGTTCCTATTATTTAATTTGGAAGAGCTATAAAGTGATAGTCATGGGAATAAACTCTGGAAGTCAGTCTTCCAAGAGGGACAGTTGGCAAAGAAAAGTTGACTATTGCAGGGTATTTTGGGAAAAAGGAAAAAAAGAAAAAGGCTATGGGATAAAGAAGCCTGCAGGGACTCGGAGAAGAGTAAGGGAGCATCCATTATCAAACAAAAAAGCAAAAATGAAAAGAGAGACAAAGCAGGAGATACACATGACATACAGAAACTGAGCTAGCTGCTTGGGGTGGCACAGAACTCCCCAGTGCAGATAACCCATCCAAAGAAAAAAGACAGAGCTTTTTGGTCATTTACTGAGACTTAATAGCTCTTTTCAAATCCCAAAGTGTTCAGGGTGAACACGTGTAAAACAGCATGAGATCTATTTTTTTTTTTTTTTTTCCCCCTTCAGGCCACTCTTCCCTACTGATACAATGCCAAAAAGTTTAATTAAATGTCAAGTGTTGCAACATTTGTGCCTTGGGGAGGAGAAAGAAAGCACTGGCTTGGCACTGAATTTTAAGAGCACATCATGACCATCACGTTTTCCTTACAAGAGTGTCAACTTACCTTTCCTTTGCTGATTATAAAGAAAGTGTCCCCCCGAGCACCTTGTCGGATAATATACTCTCCACTTTCATAGTGTGTCTGTAAAAAATATATTTAAAAAAAAATTATAAAATGAACAGGAACAAACATAATCAGAGACTGTTATTCAGCTGATAATTTGGCAGTTCTACAAGATAACACTTAGGGAAACATAGCTCTGGACTGATTTTATCTGAGTTTGACACTGGTTGTGATTTAAGAATTTCCCTACGTCCAGCAACGTAATAATTAAGAAGAAACCATTTGTGGCTTGCCCATTTTTCTTATTACTGTGCTGCTGCCAGCTTTTGCCCAGATGAATTATCTTCACAGCCTAAATCCACTTGTATTAAGTAAACCTGACACAGGCATGACAGAGAATATAGTACACGAATTAAACTGCAATAACCATTTTTACTTTTTTTTTTTTTTTTTTTTTTTTTTTTGTGGTTTAAATATTTTCCAGCATTGCCAGCAAAGATTTTTTCAACAAATAATTTCTGCTCTTTTCCCATTATTTCATTAGTTTAACCTGTCTTTTTTTTTTTTTTGGTCTTATCTTATGGAATGTTTACTGCTGAATGTCACACCTTATCAGAGCTTGCATACAAACTTAATAGGATAGCTTCATCCTTTGCAATGCCCCATCAAAATCAATATGCATTCATACATCACCAAAAATAAAGACTCCACAGAAATATTTAGCATCTCCCCCAAGCTAGCATGATGCTCTGCACCCTGCAAACTCAACAAACATCACGTCAACAGTAAGCAGCTACAGGGATATGCAAAGACCTCGCATCTTCCCTAAACCTCCTGCTGGTAAAACAAATGTTGCAGTTTAATCAAGCTTCTGCAGAGAGTGCAGACGTGGCTGTGGGTATCAGCTCTGCTGCGCCCCAGCACTGATCTGTGCCAAACCTACCCCAAAACACAGCATGCACTGAGCTCTGGTGTGGATGCTGGATACTGTTTGAAGCTACAAAACGCTAGAAAAGACTGCCAGATCTTTTAAACCCAAAGTATGTATAAATAACAGCATGGATTTGATCTAAGAAAGAGGAATTAATCAGAATGCTAGAATTCAGTTAAGGATTTCTCTCTTATCCCAACGGTGTTTTATCGACCTGTGTTTATCTATTTTTTACACTTCAATTTCTTGGTGCTACTTAAAGACTGATAAAAGGCTCCAACATGAAAACACGTAAAGGCACACAGTGAAGTATCTGTTGCATCTGACAGAAATGACTCCTTGCTTTGGAAGCACTGGGCATATGGTAATATTGCTGAAAGTAAGTCTCTTAAGAAAATATATCTAAGTGAACTATAGTATGTATTGAATTAGGTTCGTACTTAACAACATGTGCACAACATTGAAGAAAAACAAAATGGGGTGAAGGAAACCAGAATGTCCAAGGAGGACATTAGCAAACAATACCCTTAGACTTTTCAGAATGAAATGACTGAAAAAATCAAGTCCACTATCTGAGTCACAAATGCTTTTGGAAAGCACTTCGAGAAGAGCTTGGGTTGCCCTGTCCATGCTGGGCTCCAACAATCACACTACTTCTCCTGCTGCAAGTTCTAGAATGAGAGGAGGAAGAAAAGCCTGAGAGGAGGCCATGGAACACCGTGAACACAAACACAATTTTGTTTGTAAGCAGAAATCCTGGGGTTTCTGCTTACAGACTTTGAGGATGTACACTTTTGAGCACCCAAACTGAGGATCCTTGAAAGGGTCTGATTTTATAAGGTGCTGGGACTGTGGCTTCTTAAGTGGCACCTCATATGCACTCCAAAACCTCTAAAGGAGGAATCTAGCATTTTCAATACAGCTTTTGATTTTACTACACGTAACACATTCAACACAGCAAAACCTTCTTCCTCAGGCCAGCCCTATTCCTTGCTCTTCATCACTTCATCAGCACTGAGCATCTGGTGCAGCTGTAACCCAAGTCCTGCAGATGCATGTAATTCCCACCCTTGAGCCCTCCCAGCCTTCCTACTCAGGCTTCCCAACCTGACTCTGATGCTTCAGCACCTCTTGCCTACCTTATCTTCTTTTTCCTGGGCTCTTAGCTCATTCAAACCACTGCAATCCCTTCTCTCCACATTCAAGCCATTTTCCCCCAGTGCTTCGTTTAGCTCCCAGCCATGCAGAGCTTTCATTTTGCTTGACCTCCTCCTTGGCACTTCTTCCTGAGCCATTCCTTTGATCCATGTCTTCATTTCTAGGTATTTCAAGCCCATTTTTTTGATGACTAATTCCGCCGTGCTTCTTTTTGCTTGAATCAACCTGTCTCCAGCAACACTCCCAACCTCTTACACTCTCTCCTTCTCTAACGCAAAGCCAATCATCCGTGTGCATTGCCCTTCTAACCAAATTACTTCTGTCCATTTAGACTGAAAGCACTGTGCAAAGTGAGAAAAGTGCAGAAGTGCTCACATATGGCACATGCAAATAAAAATAATCACAAGCCCTTGCTTTTAGCCGGCCACTTAAAGGAAGCAGGGTGTTCTCAGGTACACACAGTACCACCATGCATCCTGTGCAAAAAGCAGTTTGCCAAGTGGGCTGCATAAATTCATGGCATGGCTTTCAGCATCACAAGCTCCATCGCACCCAAGAAAACCACTCAGAGCAATGTGAGAAAACAAGGACTTCTGAGAGCCTTACAGTAGCGTGGTGGCACATGCAGAAGAGCAGTATTTGAATTAAAATTACAAGGAAGGAGGTCAATAAACATGCCTTTACTAGCCTTAGACTGACTTCATCACTATTTTTGCACTTGCAAGACGCAATGCAATGGCTGAGCTCCAGCAAGCTGTTAAAAGCTGGGCCCACCAAAGGGCACCCTTTTGATGGAGGTTACAGCCATCAGTTGGCAGCTCCTTCAACTCCAGCTTCAAAGCCCGGTATAACTGGTTAAAGAATTCCCAGTTTGCCTTTAAAATAGTTAACAAATATTTCCAGTCGCATTTGCCACCAGCAAATAAGTAGAAATGTGAGCAGCGAAACACCCTGTATTTAGGGTTAGAGCTTGTATTTTTTGATGTTTTGACTTCCTCTCAAGGGACCCTGAAGAGAGCCAAGAGCTCTGTTGTGAATATTGCATTTTCACAGGCAAGACCAAAGCTCAGTGACAAAAGCTGATTTTATGTCTTAGCTGTACTCCACTGAAACCCAAGTGTCACTGCAGTTCATGAGTATTCTTCCAAAGACACAGAAGCTCCTCCAGTCCACAGCAGAATTGGAGGAATACACAGAAATGAATTTCTAGCTGGAATAGTTGACCAAACCGTATCAACCATTCTAACATTTTCTTCCTTTGAGACAGAAAGCAGAGCAGAAGGTTTAGAATATATGCGGAAAGGGGAAAGTTCCAGGAGAAACGGAGGCTGCAGAAACATCTGTGCAAGCTGCCAAAGCCCAGATAGCCAGGTGGAAAAGCCAGTAGTTAGAAGGTCTTGTGTGTGCAGGGAGAAAAGGGTTACGAGGCAAATCACTGAGGCTCGCCATCAAAGTCTGAGAGTCAGCGCTGAGGAAAACTACCACAATAAAGCTGAGAAATTACTGCTGGGAGCAGTACCAGCAAGCCACAGATGTGTGCTTTAGAAGCTCTGGCAAATACAGATGAAGGTTTGCTTCAATTAATTATAAACGCCGCAACATCTAGAGAGTTCACTGTGCTAACAAGACTGTTGTTTTACCAGGTAACACCAGCCCTTGAGGTACTCCTCAAGCATGAGCTGCTTTATCACCTGCTTTATCATTATTTGAATGAGAGGTCCTAAGCACCTGATCAAATCCTTCAAAGTAAGAAGTCCCCAGACACCATTAATTCTACTGGAAAACACCAGCCAGAGGGAGAACTACTGTGCCAGGTGAAGGGATCCACCTCAGCCTCGTTTCCCTATGAACTCAGATCAGCTGGGGGGATCACATTCTCCTTCCCAGTGCAGAAAAGCCCATGGGGAGGAGATTGCTCTGTGGAATGCTAACAATGTTGTGTCTTGTGTATGCCTCACAGGATACCTAATGTCTGATAGTAGGCTTCTTCCTGAGAAAATAAGGGATAAAATCTTTTTTCTGCTTCTTAGCAAGCACGTTTCCAAACTTCAGAACTAAGAGCTTCCTTCAAAACAACCAACCAACCCACAAAGATCCAGCCTTCCATTAATACTCTGATTTTAATTTGACCCATACGTGGTTTCACTCCTAGGAGCATTTCAGTCCCTCTGTTCTCCAGTAAGGAGAGGAGCTATGGACACAGGACTTCCAGCTTTTTGAGGTCTTTGCAATGAAGCAGAACTCTTAGCTCAAAGCCACTCAATTGTATTCACAGAAAGAACGTGTCAGAAGAGAAAAAACAAAGCTAAGGAAAGAAGCAGCTCTAATTAGTTTCCTCGAGGAATGAATAGGTCCGAAACCAGAACGTTTTAACAGGAATGAAACTCAATATACATATATAGGCAAGAGAAAGTCACATATACACTACATTTACTCAAATCCCTATTAAATTTACTTCATGCGTGCCAAGGCAGAACTGACAGGAGCAGTGTGATGTGAAAAATAAAATTAGAGAGCCAGCCCAATTAGCATGTCAAAGTCACCGGAGCATTTCTCGAGTGCCCTACGCCAGCCCAATGTCATGCAGCACTGCCAGCACTTCAGAGCAGCCCACTTTCTGACCTCCCAACCTTTATGACTCCGACTTTTTTCTTTCTCCTGCAGATTCTGCACAACAACAACTTGTTAAATCCAGAATCCTTGCTAGGATAACTGCCAGCTTCTGGTTGCTTGTACAGTATTGAGCAAGAGGTTTCAGGATTGCATACCTGACTCATGCTACCCCTTATTTTTAACAATACCTGGGAATTTATCAAACACCTGTGATTAATCCAGAATACCAGAATATGTTTGTAAGTCATTCAGAAGCTAAACTGGTAGCTGTTTCTTCCTAATCTAATTGGCTTCTTACAAGTAACAGCACATTTGTAACAAAGAGACATGCATAATCATAGGTTTTCCATTGTATTTTTATTTCCCCACCAAAAAC